ATCTTCAAGACACAACGGACACACCACACACACACACACACACACAGTATATCCTATGCATGTCGCTACCATCAGTTCACAAGCATCCTGCTGCAGAATAACAAACACTGATCAGCTGTGTGTGTTTTGAATGTAACACTGTAGCAGTCTGCTGCCATATTATCTGATACACTGCTATTTCTGACACCGCACCGCAGGCTTGATATAACGTGTCTGTGGAGCGAGTGTGTCCACACACACGCGGGTTTAAAGGGGGGGGGGGGGTCGTGATCGTTTAAAAGCTTTGTATTTCATGATCGCCGCCATTTCCACTCTCTCTCTCTCTCTCTCTCTCTCTCTCACACACACACACACACACACAGAGAGAGAAAGAAATACCCAGGCTGAGGTTGTAGCTGGATTTTTTGTGCTCTCTCTCGCCCGGGTTCAGTAGGAGCCTGCTGTTCAGCTGCACCCCTCCCCCAGCCTCTGGCGAAACAGGAACAACTTCTTTGAGAGCGAAAGAGAGAGAGAGAGAGAGAGAGAGAGAGAGAGAGAGGAGAAGAGAAGGCTGCACAAGTTTTTGGAGTCTTGGAGCAGATATGTAGCCTCCACTTGGTTTTCCATTTGGGAGCTAAGATACTTCTGGATTTATTATTATTATTTTATTTTGCAGCTGCTCTTTGTCTTTTCTTTTTTTGGTGGAAAAATGGTCGACTTACCTCGAGGATTATAATTGTCGGTGGAGAGGGGGAGCTCTCTCTCTCTCTCTCTCTCGGTTGTGGAATACTTTACCTTTTTGTGTGTGCAGAGAGGAATTAGCAGAGAAGTGACTGATCGACTAACCACCACTAATCCCTCCTTCTTCTTTTTTTTTAATGGCACCTGAGGAATGGAAAGACTTTTGTCTGGAGTCGCTCTGTGTGCGAGTGTCTGTTTCGATATGATATGATGCATGGTAAGACTCGGTTTTGCTTTCGATCCCTTGTTTGTTTGTTTGTTTGTTTGTTGACCCGTCCTGTAACTTTCTCCTCCATCGGGCCGGTCGTCCTCACGCTCGGCGTCGCTCCCCTCCACCTCGGCGGCCACGCATTTAGAAACCCTAAAAGACTGAAACGACCAGATTTGCAACATTGTGAACACCCGAGTCCGGAAGATTGAAGTCTGAAGACTTTTGCGGTGTGCTCGCTGGTTATAGCGTGTACACTGCAGGCCTTTGGGGCTTGCTTTTATTTATTTAATTATTATTTATTTAAAAACAAAGTTTTTGGTTCCTCCTCTGTTCAGAGTTCACTTCAAAGTCGCGTTCGCCAGTGGCCCGAGATGTTAAAGCTGTTTGAAGCACTTTAGTTTTAGAGATCAGACGAAACGGCTCGGTATTGAACCGACTCACTTGACTCATTTCCCCCCTCGAGTCTTTTTGTTGTTGTCCCGTTTGGAGAATCCCATCAGGGCTGCAGAGGAAGTCCGTCCGTTGTTAAGCTCATCGCTAAAATACCCCCGCGATAAAAGCTTTACACACTTAGTACCAAGCCCGAACAGTTTTACACGACTTTTTGTCTCCCCGTCTCTAACTTACCTGTGCTGCTTTAAGAGGAAAGTGTAGTCTGAATATTGCCTTAGCTTAGCATACAAACCAGACGCGGTTCTGTTGCGCGTGGCCCCTCGTCTCCAGACTGGTGGCATGCTATTGCTAACTGAACTGTTCACGAGACCTATCTAATAAAACACACAATGTTTTATTAGATCAAGTTATTACGCTATTTATTGACTGGGATGTGATGATCAAACGTGTGGGATTCTAATACATAAATATACGTTTAAGAGTTTTTACAAACAAACAATATAAACCCTCACAGAATTTGTCATGGAAACTGTAATGGTCCTTGTGGGTCTCTACTGGTCATTTGTTGCCTTGTATTGGTGGCATGTCTAGTGAATACCATTAAGGGCCGGTAATGGTTTTAGTGGTCGGCTGATGGTTTGTAATGGTATTTGTAGTGGACACCATTAGAATGTCTGTGATTTGGTTTCTGGTTTTGTGTTTTTCCGCCTTCCCAGCAGGGTTCTGTGTCGCTAGTTTTCATTTGGGAAAGAAACCACACGTTTTCTGGGGTTTATTCTTCCGAATTAAGGACGTTTACATGGGCCTAGTTTGAATATGTGACCTCCGACTCTGTTCCTATGCAAATTGCAGGCCGGTGTGGCTGTAACCTCTGGCCATCATGGTGGTTTGGCCTCTGAAACAAGAGCAAGCTGTTAATACCTTTCCTGTGAGGATGGGTCACGTCTCGTTTAGTATTTAGGCTTTTCCTTCTAACCTCGAAACCGCGAAGATTTTGTGCGATTCATTGATTTGCCACAAGAGCAGCAAATTGTACTCAGGAAGTGCGAATAATTAATCACTTTTACCCAATAAATTTTATTGTAACACAGAGATTTGGTTTACTGAAGTAATTATCATATTGGTATTCGAGCAACTGTCTTTGTGTGTGTAAAATGGCAGCTATAATATATGGTAGCTTCAGACTTGCACAAAAGTTCGTAATTGCGTTTTGCCCCACCACATCAGAATGAAACGATGCTTAAAAGAGAAAATTACCCCAAATATTTGCCTGTTTATCGTTAAAGTGAACTTCACAGGCATCCACGATTATTATTATTATTATTATTATTATTATTATTATTTTTAAATGTAATACCCAGTTCACCTTTTCCTTTGTTTGAACATCTTTCCTGACATGTTGCTCTATTTTGGTTATAGTTTCCTACATTACCCACAATGCCATTTGACTGCTAGCTAAAGAGAGCAATGCAGCAGGGCTTTAGCACTCTAGTCTGTCCAACTCTGCCAAAACAGATGAGATTCAAACGATTTAGGTTTCTGGCTAATAAAGTCATCATTGTTCTTGTACTCGTCGTCTCGTAGATCCCTAAGCAGTTTAGTCGAGACTCTTCGCAACTGCACTGTATAGTCGCATTGCGTTTGAGTCCAGATTTTACTTTCTCCACTATTGCTACGATGGATTTCTCATTGATATGATTCTGAACATTGCTGGAAAGCTGTGACTAAGACAAGAACCTCTTTCTCTTCAGTTTTTACGAGCGAACAGTGACTTTGTGAAATCACTTTGAGATTTGGCGAAATTTTTTTTCTCTCCTATTAAACACCATTGTAACTGTGCTAGCAATGTCCTCCGATGATGTCAGCGTGGCTCACAGGAAGAATGAAAATACAGCATCAACCAACAGATTAGCACCAGAATCACAAAGCATGTTTAATGTGTTTTATGGTTGGTTTTATTTTTATTTATTTTATTTTATTTTATTTTTTTAAAAGAGTGCATAGAACTCAGTACTGTGGTTTTGTGCATATTGAGATATAAGCTGTCACACTGGTAAAATTCAGTATTCAGTTCAGTTCTTTATAGTGTAATATATCCTGTTGTAAAAATATTGTCACGTATTTCAAAGAGTACATCATTATCATTATTATTTCCATATTAGTTTAATGTTAACAAAAGAACTATTTCAGGTTTCTTTGTTATAGTACACCTTCACACCCGTGCTTGAACATGTTTGCTGTGTTCCTGTTTGTCATGATTTGAATAGCAAAATACCCACATGGTAATCTCTTCGAATGCACAAGTCATTAATTTTTTTCCAACTGAAAACCAGTAAAACTTTTTCCACACCGCTCTATATATACCATTTTAATCAAATCAACTGTGATTCAGTGCTTAGGCTTGAAACATGGGGGGAAAAATAGTTAGGTAATAATAAGTTATGGAAATGTCAGGCATGCCCTGCCCTTAGAATTTTTTTAGCAGTTCTTCCTTATCATATTACGCAAGATTTGTTGTGGGGTTTTTTTTTTTTTTTTTTAATAGTTTATGGCAAAGCCACAGGAGTGCCTTTTGTTTCTGGTTTGTGTGTGCTGTTGAAGGGAATACTCACTGCATCTATCCACAAACTGAGTCATATAATTGCTGCCATAGCTTTTGGTTTTGGAGATTAGCATGTGGTGGAATATGTTAAGTGGGTTCAAAAGTAGAAAGTTCTCTGGGGTTTTCTTCACTTCGTCTTGGCACGCATCCTGACGTTTTTGGGGTTCGTTTGGCCACGGGCACATGGCCTGTTGGACCTGTAGGTCTGTGGGTCTTACATACATGGTTAAAAACCGCTCTGTGGACTGGACTGTGTACGCACCTCATTGGACCCCTAATGTTTTTTGACACTGATCTGGAATAGGGCTTGAAAGATGGCGTGGCCCGCAACAACCCCCTGTCTTGATGTAATTCCATTTGTGTACTTTATATGTTGGAAATTACTTGAGCTAAGCATTCTAATGAATTGGTCAAAGGTGAAGCAACACTTTCATATTTAAAAAATTGATGCAGTGGGCATTTCGTTCAATGGCTATGATGTCCCTTCAAGTCAAGGGTATATCTTTTGCTCTTGTTCATACAAACAGACCTTGAGAAATTGGAATTTGAGGTCCTATTCATGTTCTCATCATAACTATGTATGCATTATATGTGGCCAGCGAATTCTATAAAAGTTCATTTGTTCATAAGTGTTTCAGTGCACCACGTCACTAGAACAGAAAGCTGACCTTACTTTATGTATGTCTTCCACAGGTTAGTCTGTAAGAGAGAGAAGTTGTAATCTACTAAACTCGTCCTGATTCCGCGGACCTTTGTTCCTTGGCACTTCGGTTCAGACACTGGTTTGCTCTACATCAACACACACACACAATAAAAGGGGATCTACTAGAAGTTGCTTCAGATGTGGAGGAGCCGGAGATCCTCCTGAGACCTCGGGGTCATTCAAGGTAAAGTAACTACGACAACACGCATTCAATTTCAGTTACATGCTTGACATCGGTCTGAATGTTATGTGTTTGCATGCAAAAAGGACTCTGTAGAGGAAAAGCGCTTGTGATATAAAGCTGAGGCACAATGCTGAGCGTGATTTTTTTTGGGGGGGTGGTGTGGGCATGGATACCATTTTTGTCAGACCGCGTGGTAGCTCAGTGGTTAATATGTTGGACTTCTGATCAGAAGGTCATGATCAAATCATAGCCCTGCCAAGCTGCCGCTGCTGGGCCCCTGAGCAAGGCCCTTAACCCCTCATATTCTCAATTGTATAAATTAGATCTTGATAAGGGCATCTGCCAAATGCTGTACATGTAAATGGGTACATTTTTTTTTTTTGGGGCGTACTCCCTGATACCAATACTGAAACGAGTAAACCTACTTCGGGGCATCGTGGGACGTTTTATTTAGTGTTTGTTTGGGGGCTGCTGGCACTGAACTCCTCATGCTGAGTATTATGTTTGAGATGTTATGTTGTTTAAACAGTATCTTTAATAGCGTGCGAGGGCGGCTGGCGTGAGCGCGCAGATCTGTGAGCATGGTCATTAAAAATGAGCTCAAGGTGCCCTGAAATGGATCTTGACTCGGAAGCGAAATGCAGACCTCGGTGTAAAGAAGCACGCGTGTCTCCGTGCTCGCAGAACTGAAGCGCAACAGTTTCTCTGCTTGCTCACTTCACTGCTCCTAGGTCAGTATTTATCATGAAGTTGTGTTGCATGATGGTTAAAGATGAACTGAAGTGTTTAGTTAACTTTTCATCATATTTAGTTTCCCCCATGCTGTTAGGTGTTTAAAAATGAGCCTTGTGTCATAAATGACATGGCTGTGTTTCAGAACATGAGAAGAGTTTCAGATGAACAGGAACATGACAGATGAGGTTTAGAAGTAGAGATTAGAAGATTTCGGGGATGGGGGGGGGGTGTTTAAAGGGATTTGCCTAATGTTTGGAGAAATCAGCGTCACATTTGTAGCTGTGAATACTCTGAGGTGAGGTCAGCACACATGGCTGCGTTCGAGGAAGGAAAAAAAACACTTGAGACACACATGGTGACGTTTACTATAACTGATGAGTTTATTATAGTCTGTTGACTACTTTTTTTTGGTACTAGTAGTTTTTAACAGCGTTTACTGTGAGGTGTGTTTTGGACACGTTTGGTCCAAATAAGTGTGTGTGTGTGTGTGTGTGTGTGTGTGTGTGCTCCATTCGTCAATGGAGTTGAGCACCCTATGGACAGTGCAGGCGGTTTCTGTCTGCAGGTCAGTTCTAAGGCCTCACCCTTTCTTCTGGATCCATTCATTACTGTCTCTCTCACACACACACACACACACACACACACATATATATATATATATGCGCATCCCTTCGGTTTCTTCACCTCTTTCTGACAAGACATGGATTTAATCACTGCTACTGACTTTCTGCTTGCTCCATCCTCAACTGGTCCTGTGTGTGTGTGTGTGTGTGTGTGTGTCTGGGCATGGTGGGAGGTTGCTTGGTGTGTGTGCGCTAATTGCGTACAGGTTCCGTGTAACGTTAGCCTCGTTTACTTCCACGCTCTTTGATTAACTGCATCACTCCCATTAAGGTGTTTGTGTTTAGGTTGCGGCCAGCAGTCGGCTTCGGTACAGCTGCTAATTAGAGGCTATTATAATTAACTTGCGGGAAGGAGAGCTATATTAGCCCACTGCCTGTAGTAGGACCCTTTAACAGCTCAAGCCATAGCTTTAATCACTGGATTTTCTTTGTTTGTATCATTATTTACAGTAGGTACTTCGACCCAGCAACTTGCAAGAGATATCGGTGGGTTCTCCTTGACGAAAAAAAAAAAATGACTAAAGGCACGTTTTGTTGGGCTAAATTAAATCTGCATGCATGGCAGAAACCAATTAAAGCAGCTCACTTATCTGGTCCTGCTTCTAATGTGCATACTTGGAGGTCGGAGTCAGCGAGTCACGCTGAAATGAACCAGTTTCTACTGGAAGAACGGAAATTCCATTCGTAAAGGCTGACCCGGGCTGAAGAAGATTTTTATTTTTCGTTTTTTTCCCGAGTCTACCAGGAATTTATGCACGAGCAAAATCCAGGGTCAACAGACACCGGGCCTAGATCCTTCACCATATAATAGCAATATAAAAATGGAGGTCGGACCTATTTATAGTGCATTGATCAATATGGATTTAAAGGTATTGAATGATGCTTTTAGGTCTGACAGTGTATGTGTATACTAGTGTGTGTGTATACTATGTGTGTGTTGTGTTTTCTGGAATGTTAAGTTGTTGTAGTTGTACAGTATGTTTATGTGCAACATTAGCGCTTTCTTGGCGTGTTTTTCCTTTTGCTTCAATGTGCTTTCGGAGCTGTACGAAAATCATTAATGTTAAATGATTCTTTGATGAATTAACTACCTGGCACACGTTTTTGTGCACACATCTGTTCTGCCAGAGAAGAGCTTTTCATAGCTACACTGGGCACGCAAAGCTTCAATTACCATGCTGTTGCTGATAGTTTGTTAATTGGCGCGTGGTGGCCGTGAGCTGCTTGGCTGAAATGCGTAGTTGCAGGACTGTCCACTGCTTTAAAAAAAAACAAGGCATCGTTTCATCTTGTTTTATATTAAATGATATTTTAATGAGTGTTGGTTGATTTAGTGAGCCCAGCTGTATATCTAAGGGAGGCTTTCACAATGTGTCACGTGAAAAATTGGTAACGTGAAAGCCGTCATGTGAACCGGGAAGTTCCCATGAATGTGAACACAACATGTACTCTGGTCCGCACTTGTTTAGGAAGTAAAGTAACCTGCGGGCGACTGGGGCTCAGGTGGTAGAGCGGGTTGTCCACTATTCGTAGGGTTGGCGGTTCGATTCCTGGCCCGGATGATTCCACATATTGAAGTGTCCTTGGGAAAGACGCTGAGCAACTCGGTCCCGATGGCAAGTTAGCGCCTTGCATGGCAGCTCTGCCACCACTGGTGTGTGAGTCTGTGTGTGAATGGGTGAACGAGACACAGTGTAAAGCGCGTTGGATAAAAGCGCTATATAAGTGCAGACCATTTGCCATGGGACCGTCGTGGGACACCGAATCGTCCACTACTGCGCATAATACCTGCTGCACATAATCTCACCAAAATATTAAATTACCGCGAGTCGTGGTGTTCTGTGTGCGTTTGTGTAACGGAAGATGAATGCAAATACACCAAGGTTTGCTAGAATCAAGTGAGTCTGAAACCAGACCAACGCCGCGAGGTACCGGGGGAAAACTGCATCCGGATTTAGATCGGAGTGTGAAGACCACCTCCAGAAGTTTTGAAGCACATCAGCAGGCTTTCATCGACTGCACGTTTTTGTACATAGATTTGATGACGACAAACTCTGACTTCTTATCATCTTATTCCAGAAGTCTTAGTGTGGACACACCCTAAAATCTATTCGCTAGCCTAGCAGACAGGTGAAAGCTCCTCTTTGCTGTACAGTTCGATGTTTTTGCAGCATTGACTAGGCTAAAAAGTGGCAGCTAGCATGTGCTAATGTACCGTGAGCTAGTTTGCTAGTTAATACACAGTAAGACAAATGAACACGCAAGTGATTATTATCCTCATCTGACAAAGTTTCCAGTGTAGCATGTTGTATTTACGGCCTTGCTGGTGAATGTTTCGTCTAGGAGATTTCATGTTCCGTCCTTGTACACCATGTAATGGATAGACTTTCAGCCTGCTAAGCATCTTCATTGTCTCTCAGCATATTTTTAACCATGAAGGAACGGTGTATCTGTATGACTGCTTTGCACGTAAATGTATTTATCATTATTTTTCCGGATTTATACGTGTTCCCACATACATTTTTTTTTTGGTTCCGAATAGACCACCTGTCATCCATGCACACTAATATATCTGCTTATTAAAAACGGCTCTGCTGACAGCCAGGTCACGCCTTGCGGTGGTGGGATTCGGAATGATTTTGTGTGCGTTATAACTATAACACGGACGTGTCGCACCACCCTGAAGCTTGAAATTCTTTTTCTGGTTGTTGCTGGGCAACTATGAATATTAAGGGGGGGGGGGGGAACTACAAGCTATTTTTTTGTTTCTTGAATGATATTTTTTCGGTTACACGTTCGTTGCCCGTTGAAAAATTATGAAAGAATTTGCAACATGCATTTTAATAGGAACAGTTTCATTGCCTGTTATGGTGGTACATCGTCTAAATCATCATTACGTTACAGCAACAAAGAACTTGCTGCTGATTTGGAAAACAAAACGTTTTCAGTGGCCTTCAAATATATTTCAAGCAAATATCAAAATACCTAGACATCATGTACTTTTAAAGATACACTGAGAAACAAGGCGCTACTGCTGGTGTTCGCGAACCTTCATTCTACTAAAAACTGTCCAAATTGGCTGTTAGGCTATTCTTTAGAAAGGGTTCTTCCCAATTTACGGCGAGCAGGACCGTGTGTGTTTAGCGTCTGCTTTTATCTTATGTGATTAAAACTGGATTAATCTTGTATTTTTGTATTGTAGATTGATCTCCAAAAGCAATAAAAGGGAAAGTTAAACCTGTCAGAACGGTCTCAGTTCAAGCGAGGTCAGCTTTACACAAAAGCAGACACTGACGTGTTGTATTAGTTTAATATGGATGGATGATTTTAAACTCGGTTCATCAGATTCAACAGATCACCCCCACCCCCCGAGGGAGCAGGCGGAGAATGCGTAGTGACAAAGAATTCGTACGTAAATAGTGAGAAGGAAATCAGCCGGAGTTGAAATCTGGAAACAATGGAAAGAACCTAAACCTAACTGGTTGTATACAGGTGAACTCCGAACACAAGATCACAATCTTTTGTTGAATCTCTTACGTTCTGATTTATCAGTATTTGTACGCGATCCATTCAGAAGTTTTATTATTAATTTTTTTTTATTTTAATAGACGTTTACAAACGTTCCGATTTGGTCTATAGTGTGAACATGCGGAGAGAGAGAGAGAGCGAGAGAGAGAGAGAATTCTATCCTTCCTACCCAGAGAGCAAGGACAAATTTGCTCTCCTGGACTGGATACCTGCACCATTGTTGGGATTCAATTTTATTTGTATAGCGCTTTTTACAATAGTCATTGTCTCAAAGCAGCTTTACAGAAATATCAGCACGGTATACAGACATTAAAGGTGCGAAATTATCCCAACTGGACAAGCCACTGAGTGGCGACGGTGGCAAGGAAAAAC